AACTCGGGACTTTGCCCTTGTGAGGCAGGCAGTGGCACCACTGAGCTACATCCCTGGCCCCTAGTAGTAGCCTTATGTACATTATCGCCACCCTCAGAACAACTTTGTGACATCATCATCACCAGTTCTATGTTGCAGATCACAGTTGTTACAAAAGTAGCAGGAACAGCAGCAGTTGGGGCATACATCTGACCTTACTTAACTTGATGATGAATCGCAGGGAGGAGGTACCTATTACTGTGTCCAGTCTAGAGATGAGAAACCTGAAGCCTCCAGATGTGTGGTCATTGGTCTATCATGGCAATGATACTGGAGCCTGTGACCTTTCTACAATACTACACTGCAGAGGATACAGATGGGTGTCCTACACTGATGGAGCTCTGAATCTGTTTGGAGAATATGTTTTGTACTTCATTCAGGATAATGTTTGCATTCTCTTAGCAACTTCTTACTGTAGATTAGCATTAGCATGGAATAAATAAAGCAGACATCTAGAGAAGTTTACTACAAAGTAGCTCCATCTCTTTGAGAAAACAAATTAGTTTAAAATAACCATGGTCAAAAACAAGAGGCCTAAAAATGTTTAGAAAATCAAATGGATCCAATGGATCCTAAGCTGCAACGGAAGGCAATGAAATTTAAAACAAACAGTTTAACCAGAAAGATGCCACTCTCTCATTTGCAAAGGAGAAGCAACATAATAGAGCAGTTAAGTAAACTAGGAGCTTTGGAGTCACCCACACTGAGTGCCAGCTCTTTCTCAGCTCTGTGACTTCGGACACATTACTTAACTGCTTTTATTCTGTTTCTTCATCTGTAAAATGGAGGTTAGTGACACTGCTTACTTAATAGGTTTGTGGTGACTACCCACAGAGATCCATCCCTTGAAAGCATTCAATAAATGGTCTTATTAATGATGATGCCTAAATCTTACCCTCTTCCAAGTTTCAGACTTAAATATATACACATACCTACATGTTCCCTGGGAACCTCAACTTCATCATGTTAAAAAATAACCTTACCCTCCATCTCAGGGAACATCATTTTCCTCTAACCAGTCATACAACTTAAAAGCCAGCATCATCCTTAAGCCATTCAACACTTCCAATCCCACAATCACCAAGTACCATTGACTGTGCACCTTGATTACAAACGTAAATAGCCTGATTCTCCATCCAGTCCTTCGGCCTGCCATAGTTCAGGTCTTTATGAACTGTTCTGCCTCTGCCTTCCTCCATTCCTGGTCCAGGAGGATAGGGAATATTTAGTATTCACCTTTTTTCCTCAGGACATGGCAGAGTAGTCATCACAGAAATATTTGTTTAAAAACAAACAAAAGGGCAAAACTGCTCCAAGTCCAAGGCCTGCCTGTCTGAAGTGTTTTGCCTTTACAGTCTGAACACTGAGGACTAAGCAGAACTAGATCTTCCTTGAACATCATCTCTTCACTACAGAAGTCTTTTATGTTTTAAATTGTCATTTATAGACATTCTCTATTGACATGATTTATTCTTTTGGGGTGCTCATACTAACTTGACTGCATTTAAAATTCTATAACTTACAATAAAATATTATGTGATATACCAAGTTCTTAAGAAAGGGTAATTTAACAGCAATGCTATTTTTTAATAGGAAATTTGATTTATGCTTTTCTAAGTTGCTCTTAAAATTTATGTGATAAAATACTGAACATTTATGCTCCTCTAACAGACTGATAAGCAATTTAATGCTCTAGTAATTTAATCACTAACATACTATTCCACTCCTACTTCTAGGTTCCCATCGCAGACTTGTCCATCACAACAACAGTTTCTTTCTCTCTCTCCCTGTCCGTCTGTCTGTCTCTCTCTCTCTCATTCTCTCTCTCTTATGTATACACCCAGAACAAGAACACCAACAACAAAAGCATTATTACCTCCTTCTAGAAAATGAAGAAATGGATGCATTTGTAATGTCAGGCTCCCATTCATCTTCAGGATCACAAAAAATATCTTCACCCTTGTTAGTACCATTACTCTAAGAAAAATAAAATATATAGTTTCTATTAATTCCGAGTGAAAAAAATCTTTAGCAACTAAGGAAAAATGTTAACCCTGTTACATTTATAACATAAAATTAGCCAAATTACAGGTTATCTGATAAAAGACTTTTTTAAAAAATCATAATCCTGATAAAACGTTTTAAAATTGTCACATGCCAGGGATTATACTGAGACCTATTAATAAAATCAATAAATCATTACATACTTCAAAAATAATAAAGCTAAAATTAGAAGATACAATAAAAAAATAAAATCTTCACAGGAAATGTAATCATTTCTTAGTTTAATATATTAATGACAATAATCTATATTTAAATATTTAAAACATACCAGTTAAAATTCTACCAAAATACTATATAGAGTTTAATTCAGAAAAAGTATAATTATGTGGAAAAATAAGTAAAGAACTACAATGAATGGTTATAAGTAGGAAGTAAATGAACAGTGAAGGAGATTCTCCCACTAGGTTTTAATGTGCACTGTAAGGCAAGAAAGATCAAATGCCTTCAGTGCTGTTTTTAGTTGTTTTAAATACACAAGTAATCCACATTCACTGTAGAAAAGTTGGGAATCGATAATACATAAAAACACAAAGAAAAAAATTAAAACCACTCACAAATCCATCATTTAGAGGAAAACATTGTCAATTCTTTGGTATAATACAATTAAATCTTTTGGGGTTTTCTATTATGAATATATTTTGCATTCCTAGAATAACCCTACTTGATCATGGTTTAAGTATTCTTTAAGTTTGCTCTGGGTTTGACTTACTAACATGTATTATTTTTGTAACTGTGTTCATATTAAGATCAATTTATAATTATCTTCTGAATCATCTTTTCCGTTTTTGTAGTTTTTGTTTCTTTTGTTTTTAATTAGTTATTCTAGCACTGAGACATTCTATAGTAGTTAAAGCAAAAAGGATTTATCTGTTTTTGGAAATTTAAAAGAATATATATAAAACTGATTGGAATTAGCAACTTTTTCCTCTACAATTTTTTTTAATCTTTCTTTGAAGCTAGCTTACTGACAAACTTTTCACATTATTGCACCACTATTCCTCTGTAAAGTCACCTTTCATAAATTATTTTTTCCTAGAAAGTCTTTTCTTCTAGAAAATTGACAAATAACATAAATTTTTAATATAAATTTTATTTTTATTATTTTATATTATTTTCTACATTGAGTGAAATATTTAACTTATTTTCATTTTTCTATTAAATAAAGCATTGAGGAAGCCAGACATAGTGGTACATGACTATAGTACCAGCACTCTGGGAGGCTGCAGGAGAGTCACAAGTTGAACCCAGGCCAGTCAACATAGCAAGACCTTGTGTCAAAATAAAGAAGGGCTGGGGATGGAGCTTTTGAGAAGGCCCTGGGTTCATCTCCCAGTACCATAAGAAAAGAAAGCATTACAGATATAATATGGCAATTTCCTCTACATTTTAAAATCTAAATCTTTATTATTATCATCTAAGTAGTATAGAACATAATTCCACTAGAGTCACATTATTGAAAAATGGGATATTTGACAAATAGCAGTGCAACAATTTTAACACATGTTGTAATCAAATTTTAGGCATAAATAATAACATAGAGCAAAATTAACTTTATATTCATACTTCTCACAAAACATCTTAATAAATTCTATGTGATCCAAAGATATAAACTTTAAAATGAAAAATCAGAGAACTGAACAAGGTTTCAGAAAGATCTCTAGATTGACAGACTCATACATACCAATTAAAAATGCCTGTGTAACAAAATGAAACCAACAAAATACCACATAATAAGGACAAAAGTATATATATGATAAATACTTTAAAAGGCTTATTACCAAAATATGTAAATAATTTTTACAAATATAAGAGTTCATTACTCATATTCCACTTAATAAAAAACTCAAAGTGTTGTGAACATTTATCCATAAGGAAACAGAATCAAATCCTCAAATGCACTAGTTATATAAAATACAAATTGAAGCAATCTGGTAACAATGGCAAGCAATTTTTCAGTAAGCATCAAAGCATGATTTTTAAAAATTCATATTTTGGTACCATTTTAGGAAGTGGAAGGCAAGAAAATAAGATGTTAAAAAGTAATATAGGGCCAGGGATTTAGCTCAGTGGTGCCACACCTTCCCGGAAAGCACAAGGTCCTGAGTTCAATTGTCAGTACCAAAAGACAAAAAAAAACCCTAATATATACGGAGACATTTTTGGTGGTAACCAGCAAGAAATCAGAAATACCCAAAGCACAGCAACAGAAAAATCTAAATGTAAAAAAATGTACATCATTATGATAGGAAGATAGTTTCTAATCATGTAAATTGCTTTACATCTGTCAAATATCTTCCTCCCTTATCCAGAAATACAAAACTTTAAAAATATACAATTATAACTTAATAGATCCAGCACAAATGTCTATATCACACTTACATTTATAAACAAACAAATAAAACCCCATTTAAATACATGCAAAAATGAATACATATAATTGTTAATATTGGTTGAGTAATTGACAGATTGCTCTTGTTTTCCAAACTTTCTTCACTGAGAATATCACTTTTATATATTTTATGTTAAAAAAGTTTATAGAGATTCTAATAATGCTCCATACCTCATAAAGTTCTTTCATTGCTGCAAGTTTAGATTCAAACTTTTCAAGAGTCCAGAAAGTTGATACCCCAAGCTGCAGGTTACGAACTCGAATAGAAGTCTCAGGACTACCTTTATCTGATTCATCATGTCTGAAAGAAAATCAGATAAAAATGCTTATTCAAAACATATACAACCAAGTGTGGTGGTGCATGCCTGTAATCCCAGCACTTGGGAAGCTGATGCAGGAGGCCTGCCTCGAGTTCAAGGCCAGCCTAACTCTACAGAGTGAGACCTTGTCTCCACATAAAGCTGGGCATGGTAGCACACACTTGTAATCTCAGGCTGAGGCAGGAGGAGTGCCTTGAGTTCAAGGCCAGCCTAAATCACACAGTGAGACCCTGTTTGCAAAAACAAAAACAAAAAAATACACAAACATTCATACTGAGTTGAACAAATCCATAAAAATTCAGCCCACTGATTAAATAATTCCATAGTTAAGAATTTTTATTTTAGTAATAATTACATCTAACACATACTACATAAAAAATTACTTCTAACATATAAATTTTTAAAATAAAGTATCTACCTGAGGATTTGACTCAGTGGTTCTGCACCTGCCTCGCAAGCACAAGGACCCAAGTTCGATCCCTGGTAGGAAAGAAAGAAAGAGAGAGAGAAAGAGAGAGAGAGAGAGAGAGAGAGAGAGAGAGAGAGAGAGAGACATATAGATAGACTGAATGAATCTAAAAAATGTATTTCTTTTAAAAAGTGGAATGCAGTTGTGCAGGCATGATGGCTTATGCGGACTGCCAAGTTCGAGGCCAGCCTGGGTTACATAATGAGTTCAAGGTCAGCCTGAAGTAATAGTGAGACCCTATTTCAAAAAAATAAAAATAAAAAGTGGGATGCAGGAATGGGGATATATATATATACAGATATATATATATAGCTCAGTGGTGTACCTATGTTCAATCTTCAGGACCAAAATAAAGGGAAATGGTGATAAATTTTCAAGCCAAAAGAAAAATCAATAAATTCCTAAAACATTTAAATTTGTTCTGCTTATGAATATATTCTTGTGTTATTCATTGACATCTCTTTTACTCCAAAGCAGTATAACTGGGAACCTTATATACTCTTTCCTAAACAGGCACCACTGCACAGACTTTAGAAAAACTACACATTCTTTTAAAAAAAATCAAATGTCAGCTTAAACAGAGAACTACTTTATATCAGGATAATTAAGTACTCACCTGCCAAACACATAGTGTTTTTTTAACTTGTTGCTGATTGTATTTGCTTCCTGAATCATCATTGAGACTTTCATGGAGCTCCAATTTGGCTGAACTAACACAAAGCACATAAGAGGATTCAAAATAGATATATGACCACATACATCATGAGGCAGAACACTTCCAGAAAAAAATGATTTTAAATGAATGGTTTAACTCTGTATCCCAGAAAGATAAGAGTAATAGTTGAATAATTTTTTTTCAACCCTTGTCAAGATAAAATATTCTTATAAAATGTCTTCCTCCCCCATTCCCAACCCCTTCCCACTTCCCCTTTATCCATTTTCTTCCTATTTCACACTCCCAATCACACCGTTTGAACCTTATTTACACTTTTAGTTTTTCACACCAAAGAAACTATTCAGTATATACTCAAGTGTGTCCTATTTATTTCACTTAAAAGTATAGCCTCAATGTGTATCCATTTAGCTATAAATAAGGGAAACGAAAAAAAGTGAAAAAATGGAAACAAAATCTTTGTAAATAGGGAAGGGTGAAGGGGGTGAAGGGGGTGAAGGGTCACCAGGGGTATGGGGAAAAAAACAAGAACCAAGGTCTTTCATGTAAAGGTACAAGATTCCAATGATAAATGTAACTGTACTGTTTGTTTTGAATGTACCAAAAAACTTAGTGGAAAAAAAATGAGGTCTCTCAATTGGAGAGATGGTAGAAAATTGAAATTGATAACAATAGGATGAGGATGTTCTAAGAGAGGAAATACCAAAGACAGTGCTTTTCTAACTTAAAAGATTTTTTTTTCTAACATATTTTTTCTTAATTTCTAATAAAGACTTGCTTTTATACTAGAAGCATCCACCACACACCCCACACATACCCCCACCCCCGCATCAGGGATCCAGCTCAGGAGCTCGAACCTACAAGGCAGGCACATTGCCACTGAGCTTCATCCCCAGCCCTAAGCATACCCTTTTTTTAAAAACAAAATTTGGCCAGCAGGTATTTTGCGGGACGTAAAAATAAAATGGAAACAAAGTGTGGAGGTGCACACCTGGAATCCCAGCACTTGGGAGTCTGAGGCAGGAGGATTTCAAGTTTCAAATCCAACCTGGGCTATATAGTGAATTCAAGGCCAGCCTGGACTGCAAAGCAAGGACGCGCCTTAAATAACGAGGGGAAGGAAGAGGAAAGGAGAGAAGGAAGAAAAGAGGGTGGGGGGGGAGAAGGAGAGGAGGGAAGGCAGGGCAAGGGGAGAGAGGGAGGGGAAGAGTAGGGCAGGAGGGAAAAGAAAGGAAAATAATTTAGTGTAAAATTCTAGTTTCCTAATTTAAAGTTAAGAGTTTTGGTGGGTTTTTTTGTCTGCTTGTTCTTTGTAGGGGGTGCTGTTTGTAGTGCTAGAGATTGAGCTCTACAGCCTTGCACATACTAAGCACATACTCACTCTACCACTAAGCTACATACCTTGCCCTTAAATTTAAGATTTTATCATAAATATTTTCTATATTGTTCAGTCAAACTTAAAATTAGTATTCCATTAAAAATATTTTTTTGGCAGGATAAAACTCACTATTCCAAAGGGAAAAAGAAACAAGTATTCATTATTAGGTACTGTTCTAAGCCCTTAGAAAAATAAAACAGTGTATGAATACAAATATTTATCTCTTGTAACACATAAAACAGTACTAATATTTTCAAAGTTATTTTAAAGCATTAGTTATAGTGAGAATACAACAGAACTACTAAGTATTCTTGGGAAATAACTGAACCTGAATCCAACAGGCCTGGAGTGAACTTTTCTAGGGAATACAGACAGAGGAACCTATTGAATACCACAAGACACAGGCAGCAAAATCCAGAATCTGGGAAACTGCACGGCAGAGAATTTGACTTCCTCAACAAATGAACTCCAACAGGTAAGACAGAAAGAAAAGCTAATTGACAGACAAAAGAAATACTGTATAAAAGCCAGGCCATGTCATATGTGGTGGTGCCTGTGTGCAACCCCAGCACTCTAGGAGACTGAGGCAGGGGGACTGCAAGTTGAGCTAAGCCTCAACACCTAGTGACAGCAAAATCCTTACTCAGAATAAAAAAATAAAAGAGAGTCAACTGCTAGCTAGCTAGTATCCAGATAAATACATGCATACATACATATACACCAAGTGGGCTTGGTGTTACATACTTGTGATGATGGCTGAGGCAGGAGAACTCAAGTTCAAGCCCAGCTTGAGAAACTTAGTAAGATCTTGTTTCAAACGAAAATAAAAACAACTGTGATATAACTCTCAGCAGTTTAGGGCTTGCCTACCATGCAGCAGGCCCCAGGGTTCTACCTAGTACAGGGTGGAATGGGGGGCATATCTAGCTAACAAAATGTGTGGATCATGTTTGCATCTTGATTCAAACAACCTAACATAGAAGAAATATTTATGAAGCAATCCAGGAAACGTGTAGACTTTTTTGCTGAGAAAGAATCTTGTTATGCTGGCACCACACTTGGCCCACCTCAGCTTCTTCAATAGCTGGGGACACTACACCTGGCTCCAGGAAATTTAATTTCTGACCAGATATTTGATGAGCACAAGAGATTAACATACCTAAATATAGAAAATGTTCTGTTAAAATAAACATATACTCACTTGTAAAAGTTTTATCCCTGTTACTCCGATTCTGCTGTAGAATTTGTACTTCCCTAGCAATTTTTTGCTTTTCAGCTTCTAAAGCTTCCAGAATTTTTGCATGACGGACACTGTGGTCTTCTAAAGCCTAAATATTCATTCAGGCAGACATACACATAAGGACATGCAAAAAGAGAAAATGCCAAATCCAGATGCACATGATAATTATGTTAACTGACGTCACTATAGTAACTATTTTACTATTTACTATATGTATCTCATAACATCACTTTGTATACGCTAAATTCATACAATAAGATCAACTTGTAAAATTCAGATCAATAATGTTAACACATTATTATTAGACTCCATTTTACAGTATTTTCATTATACATACACAGTTAACACATTTTATTAAACATGAAAGGCCTACAAAATGATTTATAAAATGTCTTAATAATGTGATTTTACCCACAATGAAATCAGTAGGGAATTTTAATGGTACAATCTTTTTTTTCCAGACCCAGAATAGCAAAAGTAAACCTAAGTAAAAATAGAAAAGCAGGAGATCCACAATCCCAGGTATAAAGTTATATTACAAAGCTAAGGTGATAAAAACAGCATGGCACTGGCACAAAACAGACATGAGGATGAATGAAACAAAACCCAGGGCACATTCAATGATTTGATCTTTGACAAAGGAGTACAAAACATACACTGGATAAAAGTTAGTCTTTTTAATAAATGGTGTTGGGAAAACTTGACTGCCCACATGCGGAAGAATGAATCTAGACCCCTCTTTCTCATCATGTACTAAACCAAAGTTAAAATAGATTAGGGTCTAAATGTTAAAACAGAAACATTTAACCTGGTAAAGATATAACAGGCAAATCTCTTGAAGTCATAGGCACAGGCACAACTTTCTGAACAGATCCTATTTACTGAGAATCAACAAATGGAATTACATCAAATTAAAAGGGTTCTAGGGCCAGGGATTTAGCTCAGTGGCACCACGCCTGCCTTGCAAGCACAAGGTCCTGAGTTCAATCCCCGGTACCAAAAAAAGAAAAAGAAAAAAAATTAAAAGTCTTCTGCATAGCAAAAGAAACAACCAACAGAGCTAAAAACAATCTAAGAAATGGGGAAAAAACTTTGCCAGCTATTCCTCAGATAAAGAATTAATATCTTGAATATTAATATCTAGAGTAAAGAACTCAAAAAACTTAGGACCCTCCAAAATAAAAAGACCCAATCCAAAAAAAAAAGAAATGAATCGACGGTTCACAGAAGTATAAATGGCCAATAAGCACGTGAAAAAATGCTCAATTTTGCTGGCCATTAGAGAAATCCAAGTTAAAACAACACTGAGATTCTATGTGACTCCAAACAGAATGGCCATCATCAAGAAATCAAATAACAACAAATGCTGGTAAGGATGAAGGGAAAAAGAAACCCTTCTACCCTGCTGGTGGGAATGTAAACTAGTGCATCCACTATGGATGAAAAAGGAATTAAGATGTGTTATGTGCCAACTCCACACAAGCAGTGCAAACATTATGTGCTACAAACATGTACCAATAAAGAAAAACCTCAAACATATAAAAAATAATCTTTTCCTTCCCATTAATATGAAGTAAAGAACTTTTAGAGAAAAATAAGGAAGAACTGTTCAAAAAGGGGACACAAAAGAAAATTTATTGACTAAATAAGTTAAAAGGCACAGAAAAAAGTTTGACACAAATAGGCATTATAATAGCCCACCAATATTGTTTTTCAAGATTTAAATAGCTCATTTTTTTCCCTGAAACTCTGAGGTGGGTTGTGCCATAGAGTAGATGAGTAGTGTTATCACTCTATGACAGTATCAATATTTTGGGATTGCTAGGAGTATTTTCTTCTCCCCTTACCCTCATCTCTGATCTCTCTCAACCCACAATCTTGGAAAAAAGAGAAATAAAATTGTCATCTAAGAGTAAAACCTTAAGATTAAGATAAAAAGCATCAAAGCAGAGATTTAAAAAATAAAACAAAACAGTGGCTCTCAGATGTGAACGTTCATTAGCATCTCCTGCAGGACTTGAAGCCCACTCTGGGCTTCACCCCAGGGTTTCTGACACAGTCGCTCTGGAGTGACCTGCATTTGTCACTGGCCCAGGGACCATACTTTGAGAACCACTAACATAAAGAATGCTAAAAATGCTGTCAGGTAACTAAAGATATAAACATTTAGGATGTAGCTTTCAATCTTGTGAACTTAACTAATGTGAATCAGCCCTGAAAAGTTTCCTCTTTCCTCAATGAGGTGACAGAAGTAGGCACCTGAGCTCTTAAGACCAAGGTACTGGGTACTGAATATCCTACTATTAGTTCTCTTGGCAAAAATCCTACTTGCTGCTCTTTCCATGGGCAGGTAATGGTTCATCTTGACACCAGGATATGACCCAAGACAAGGTGTCTCTTTCCTATAAATTGTACCCTGGTGCCATTTATTTAAATTATTTGGCATGACAGAAGATAGGATAGTAGTAAATACACAAACAAGAAAAGTACAGTGAACCATCTAGAAATAAGAGTTCTGTTTCTTCCCAAATATCTTTGTGCTGATGTGAGTCTGTGAGCAGAACCAGGATATAAGCTGCATGCAAGAACAGTTCTCATGTAGAGATCTATAATTGGCTCGCTCCCATCAGGACAGCATAACGTTTTTTAAAAATTCACCTTTTTTTTTGTCAGAATGGAACAAACAAGCTATAAAATGAAATTACCTGCTTTGTAGCCAATGTTTCCATCTCTAGTCGTTTTTTATTGACATATACTGCCTGTTCAAGATGCAGCTTGGTCTTTTCTAATTCCTCAATTTTGTCACTGGCCTTTTGGTTATTTATTTCCTGCATTTTCTTTCTTTGAGACTCTTCTCTCTTTAAAGAACATTAATACAAAGTTGAAGCAAAAATGCAAAGCAATTTTTCAAAAATAACACCCCCAAAATACAAGACTCTTTCTTATTTTTTTTGATACCGGGAATTGAATTCGGGTCCTTGTGCTTGCAAGGCAGGCCACCGAACTGCTGAGCTAAGACTCTTTCTTAATCAATGCATGAGAAATCACTAATAGAACAGCTCTATAGTTTCTCCACTTGATTCAGGCTAACTCATCTAACTAAAAGTAAATGTCACTAGTCAAACTTTTTTAGAGTACTCTTCTCTAAAATGGATTTCTGGGAACACATGATTGCCAATAAAACATAGAGGAGCCCCCCTATTTTCTTCTTCTTCCAGTAGCCATTGTCTACTGCCCATTTGCTTCTTGAAGTAAACTTAAGGAAGGCCAACATTCACTTTGGCTCTCACTCCCCAAATCTCTGATAGTCCTCCCTTCCCTTATGGGGTCACGACTGATGGTAATAAGTCAACACATCGTTTGGGGTGCACTGTCAGAGGTAAAAGACCAATTCTGCATGTTACCAGTTCTACTTCTAGTGCTCGTATTTTGCTTTCATATGCAGCTTTTTGAGAAGCAAGTTCTTGTTGAGCCATCTCTTTTGCAATTTGGATTCCTTGCATCATTTCTTCCTTTGCCTTCAACTGTGCTTCTTTTATTTCTGCCTCAAGTCTACAAAGAAGCAAGATATTGACAGGTTATATTGTGAATAATTCCTTATATGCCAAAACAGCTTCTAATCATACTAAAATGTTTTCTACGTTCACATACCCTTCAATTTTAATTTCTGACATTCTATCAACAGTATTTTTTAAATTGTCACTGATTATATAATTGTTTATGCATAAAAACATAAAGGAATGAAAATTTGCTTATTTCCAACTTACTCTTATCTATGTCTATTTAAATGAACATTTTCCTAATGCTTAAGGAAAATAAATTACATAAACACATGTTATAGTAAACATCGCAGTATATATTATAGTCAACAATACAGCAAATACAAAATAAGGGTATTTTATATTAAAATCACAATGGTTATAGAAAATACTATACTTCATATATCAATAACGTGTTTCGGTCACAGATTAAGAAAATACTGAAATGACTCTAAAAGCACATGATACAAGAGCTGATAAGGCAGAGCTTTAGCATATTTTCAACTTTTATAATAATTTGACAAGTCAAAATTAATCAAGTCAATTGCCAAGTCAAAATGTTAATTACCTTTATCACCTTCTCAATATACAGGAGAAAAAGCATTAATAATTACAGGAAACAAAATAGCTTCTTCATTCCCAATAAAAATCAGTGTTTTAGCACTGCACTGTATCGAAATTCCCATTCCCAATTCTAAGAAAGAGTAAGAATGTTACAAGAAAGATGCGAATGGTTACCAGGGATAAGGAGAAGAGGCACTGTTGTTAATGAGGATAGGCTTAGTTTGTAGTACATAGTGCTGATGACTGCACAATAATAAGAAGGTATTAAATGCCACTGAACTGCATAAAATGGTAATTTTATCTTCAGCCTTTTTAAAAGATGACCCAACATAGTACACTCCTTCTTCAATCCGCCTCCTTTGGCCTTTTTAGTCAACAAGTCTTTCTGATTTTTATCTCCTTTATATTTCTCTCCTACCTACTACATTATATTTACCTTTCTCCACTAGTTTCTTAATTGCATTCACAGCTCGTGTATTTGCTCTACTCTAATCCCTCCTCCAGACTGGGGTCATGGTGAGCTCTCTAAAAATGTGCCACAATCCTGAGTATGTCATGTCTGCTTAAAATTCTTTAAAAGTTTTCTTTCCTTTAAGATAAAACCTACACCTACCATTCAGCTTATAAGGACACTGTTTAAGCCAGAGATCCTGTAATACTGCCTGAATGAAAACTGGGGCAGGAAGAGGAAAAACAAATACACACTCCCTCAGTTTTTCCCAGAATAACTCCGAATGCCTCCTTGGTCTCTGCTACAGGGACATCTTCTCGTCCTCTACAAACCTTCATGGACCCCTGGTGGGAATCAGGTGTCACCTCAGAAACTTCCACATCACGCAGGATAGGACTGTTAGCTCCGTGAGCTAATGAACTCCCCCGGATAGGGGCTGAGTTTGCATTGCTATTCTTTGTATCCCCCGCAGTTGAACAGTGACAGACACATTCTAGCTGCTCAGTAGATGCTTGCTGAATCAATGAATGTATCATGAGAAAAAAAAAATCACAGCACTAGAAACCAGTACCGGCACAAATCTGTAACTGCAGCACTTGGGAGGCTGAGGCAGGAGGATCACCGAAAGTTCAAGGCCAGCCTGAACTACATAGCAAGACCCAATATCAAAAAACAAAACAAAGAAAGAAACCAACATCCAAAAAATTAACTATTGGAGCCTCATACAATGTGATTAATTCTGCTGCAGGCTTCTCCCATATACTTACTATTTCATATCAACAATAATACTTACTGTGATCTCTGTGCCATGAGTAACTCATTTTTGGCAAATTCAAAGTCTTTAGGACCCTCGTTTATAAGAGTATCTCTACTAGCTGGCCTTTTCCCTTTCTGGACTTCAACTGGGTGATTAAATCTAAAATAATGATCTCCTCCAAGAATCACTCGATCACCCTAAAGCACACAAAAAAATTTACTACTAGAGTGAGCCTGAACCAAAAAAATTACATGAAAAAAGTCATTATGTTAAACAATTCAAAACAATGTTATATTACTAATAAGCATAAAAATCATAGCAACTACCGTTAAATACTTTCTATATGCCAAACACTGTGTTAAATACATGTAAAATCTCATTATGTCTCACAACAACTCAGTTTTATACCTTTAGGAAAGGGGAACTTGAAAAAGCACAGACCTTAATAACAATAGACATTCATCAGGCAACGTTCTAAAAACTACCACAAATTATTATTTTATTTAATCCCACTACCCCTGAAAAGCAGGAGGCATAAAGAATAATCATATGTTTTGGTTTGACTCCAACAGACTAGTTTATGCCTATGCTCCTGATATATTTAAAAATGCTCTAAAAAGTTTCCTGAGTGGGTAGTTGCCAAAGGTCACACAGTAAATGATAGTGGCAGAATTTCAACCCTGTCTGGCCTGACTGCAAAGCCACATAATGGTGCTGCCAATGGTCAGCTCGGTAGTGACTTGTTCACAGTAACGTAACTTTTGTTTTTGTACAAAGAAAGTCAAACCGTGAATTAACAGGCAACCGAATTTTTGGAATGACAAGTTTTTAATTCAGTTCAACTCCCTTATTTACAGAACAGAAAACTAGGACTCAAAGAAATTAAATGACTTGCCCAGAATCAGTTTCTTAAATTGTGACACCCATCCACTTACATGATGTAACACTGTGGGTTCCAAAATATGTTTTCCATTCACATATGTCTTTGCTTCACCAACTGGGATGATACTCACTGTCCCTCCAAAATTTCTGACAGTACTGTTAAAACAAGAAGTACACCGTTACAATCACAGGACACTCTAAAAAGTAAGAAAAAGACAACATGAGATAATCCTTCTCTGGCTATTCTTTTGATGTTCAGATCAATTGGTAGTAATAACTTTTATTTTCTCTCATTGAGTTTATTGGTACATTCTAGGTATATAGTAGAGTTACATTGGGATCTTGCACCTTTACATGACAGGTCTCGGTTCTCATTTTTTCCCCTTGTCCCTACCCTCCCTTCACCCCCTCATCCCCTCCCCATTTACAAACACTTCATTTCAATTTTTTAATTTTCTCATATTTTTTTCTTTTCCCTTATTAGCTTTCCCCTACCCTTCCCACTTTCCCTACACCTTTAGCCCTTTTCTTCCTATTTCACACTGTCAATTATATCATTAGGATCTTATGTACTATTATAGTTTTTCACACCAGAGAAACTATTGGTATTTACACATGTGTGACTTATTTCACTTAAGAGTATATCCTCAATATGCATCCATTTTCCTATGAATGACTCTAATTTCTCATTCTTTATGGCTGAGTAATATTCCATTTTATAGAAAAACTCCATGTTCTTTATCCGGTCTCCAACCAATGGGCAAATGGGCTGTTTCCAAGTTTTAGCTATTACAAACTGTGTTGCTATAAACATAGGTGTGCATATATCACTGTGATATGATTTTTTAAATTCTTTTGGAAAAATACCCAGCAGAGGGATGGCTGGGTCAAATGGAACCTCTAGTCCCAGCTCTTTGAGGTATCTACATATTGATTTCCACAGTGGTTGCACCAGTCTGCACTCCCACCAACAATGGAGAAGGGTTCTTTTCTCCCCACAATCCCGCCAACATTTGTTATTGTTTGAATTCTTGATAGCAGTCATTCTTTGTGGGGTGAGATAGAATCTCAGTGCTGTTTTCATCTGCATCTCTCAAATGACCAGTGATGTGGAACACTTTTTCATATACTTACTTGCTGATAGCAATAACTTTTAACAACTTAAAATTATTTTATTTCCTCAATGAGATACTGAAGACTAGTGAATAATGCATGGCCTTACTAGCAATTCCATCCAACACTGGTGGGAGGAACTGCTATTCTATGTATTTTGATTATAATTTCTAAATACAAATCAAAAGCCTTCTCCCAAAATGAAATTTGAAAAATACAGAGGAAAAAAATGCATTCATGTAAACAAAATTCACCTAAATCAAAATTTTAAAATTTGTCTATCCAACTATTGTACTATACAAGATGGGATAGTTCACCTTCATGCCCATCATTATAATTCCAAGAAGTGGCTCTTCAATCAATAGATCAATACAACAAAACACAGAGATTTAGACTATGATGCTTTATATTCAGAGTAACTCATCTGTTGTCCTTACAAAACACTCAGTATGTGTGTTATCCTAAAGGACAGATTTGAAGTATGGCAAAAAAATCAATATAGAGAGGAAAAAAAGAAATGAATACAAATAAACGCCTCATTGGAAGGAAACTTCATATTAACAAGATATAGAAGCCAACTGAAAATGAATAGGCACCCCTACTTTTAGAAGATTAACATACCAATGATCATCAGCAATCAGCACCCCAGATAACTGGATGTCATGGCTTGAGTTTGGTTTATACTTTCCAACTGTTGTTGTTCCTTCCTTTATCATATATAGTAGCATCTCAGAAAGTTGTGGATCCTCATTGAGATTAACAAGGTTTGGCAAATGGTTGTCCATTTGAAATGTAATTCCTGCTTTCTGGTAGAAGTCAGAAAAAAATTAATCTTAACTACAGCATGAAATTATTAAATTTACTTAACATAGTCGATACTAGACATTAAAACCATTTTTCTGTGAAGCCTCAATAAATTAAAGGTTCCTTGGGAAAAGGGATGTAGCTCAATGGCACAGTGTGTGCTTGACATGCATGATACCCTGAATTCAATCCCCAGCATCAAACACAAACTATTACCATCACTCTTAGAACTCTTAGACTCTTTAGAGTTCTGCTGATCTTTCTTTCACCTTCATCAGCTTCAGTCCACTCATGTATCAACCCACCATCAACAAATTGTTTCTATTCTTGTGGAACAATTGTCTGTTCTTATTTACCAATTGAAGGAACAATTTTCTTCTTCCATTTCATTGTCATCACCTTAATTAAGGCCCTTAGTAACTCTCACCAGAAATACTGCAGCAGCTTCCTGAGTCTCCCTGTCAACAATTTCTTCTGTTTTTAATCCATTTTACATATTCTAGACATTAATTCTCTTAAAAGGTACTCTCAAAATGTCAATTCCCTGATTAAACACTTTCAAAGGCTTCTCACTCTTACAGGATAAAACTTTAATTACTTGGTCTGCAAATTAAGTCCTTAATAAACTAATCATAATAAATGTTGCCAATTTTATGCCCTTATGACCTCAAACAGCTTGTCACAATCTAATTCTCACACTCCTCTGAGGACACATTAAACTTTCCCACCTTTTATTATAAAATTTTCCTTCCTAGAATGCTCTCTTCATCTGTACTTATCAAATCTACCCAAACTTCAAAGCCCACCTCAAATCCCACCTTTTCTAAGCATTTCTGGTAAAAAACAGGCTAGACTGGTCATTCCCATTTTTTCCTCCTTCCTTCAAATTCTTATAGTATTACCCTACCAAACATTTGAAATATGTTTCTGACTGGCACTATCTTTGTTCTTGTGTTCCTCAGTCTCCTTCAGAATTTTATTCCACAAAAGTTTTGATTCCTATAAAAAAAAATGTTCAAGTACTTTCTATCCTTTAAACAAACAAACAAACAAGCTGGGCCCAGTGGGGCACACCTGTAATCCCAGCACTCTGGAAGGCTGAGATAGGAGGATCACAAGTTCAAGCCCAGCCTGAGCAACTTAGCAAGACCCTGTTTCAAAATATAAAATGAAAAGCGATGGGGATGTAAGTCAGTGCAAACAGACTGGGCTCAATCCCCAGCAGCATAAAAAACAAAAATACCTCAGAATTTTCCATCAACCTTACTGGCCCTCTTTCTGACTTTCACAATTCATATTACCGAATATTGAAGTTCCTTTATGTGGCTCTCTGCGCCTTCATCTGTCATCCTTCAACCCAATGTATTATGGCTTCTTTTTCCACCACATTAACTTCATAATCTCACAATGTTGTACTCACATTTCTGAAACCTGAGTTATTTTTTACTTCAATTTTTTCAATAACCCCCATCTAAAAATAACTCCATATCCTATCAGTTTTACCTTTTTCTTTAATCCAACTCCTCCACTATCCATTCTTGTGTGTACTACCTTACTCCAAGGTCTCATTCTCTCTTGCTTGTAACCACAGCAACAACTTTCTAATAATTTCTCTCCCATCAACAGTTTTTCCTTCCTCAAATCTATCTTCCACACTATTACTAGAAGACTGTATTGAAAACAAAGTTAGCTCCTGTCACTCCTCTTCCACACAAAACAGTCTCTCCCATTCTCCTAAGTTTAAATTCTTCACCACATCACCATTTGAATCCTACGTCTTTTTCCAGTGTCATCTCTGTACCAGTCTTAATTTCCAACTACAAAACTTCTTTATTCTTTGGACACCTATGCTGTGTTGTACCTCCATACTTTTAAACGTGGCATTCCTTTTCTTAGAACATTGTCTTTGTTGGTCTAGCAAATTCCTGTTATACAAAATCTTGCTTAGTTGTTTCTTTCTCTTCAAAGTCCTCCTTGATAACCACCCTCTTCAAAATTATTTATTCCCACCTCTCTCCTACTTTTCTTTTACACACTTTTCATTGCATTAGAATGAAACATATGAAATTGCCAATGTTTGACCACATTTTTACTTATAAAAATAAGTGTCATATAGTCCCATCTAATCTAATCATACCACATTTCAGTTTGCTGATTACTAGTGGTCTAAGAGCTAGAACTCATATATTCATCTTGGCCTCCCTCCCTTATTTCTGGCACAACAGACATTTAATAAATATTTATGGAACCAAAGTAAATATATCAAGACAGTTTGTTTATATTTTAACTTTCCAACAAGCTTACTTGATCTTGACAATTCTTTGTAACTCCTTCTTATGGTATTGCTTTGTATAGAGTTGGTATATAAGAAATAATTGCAAATTTTAATCTACATATTAGCATATTTTATTTCCAAATCAGTTTAGAAAGTTAAAACAATACCTGTAACTCCTTTGTTTCTTGAAGTTTTCTTTTTTCAGCCTGTTCAAACTTTTCCTTCCATACTCTTTCCAAAAAACAAAGTATAGTTAAAACATGTACATATATATCACTGATAACCAGAGATACCGATAGTTTAGGAAACTACCTAGTAATATTTAAAATATGATAGTCTTAAAGTGGGCTATACTACAAATATGGAAAGTAGGGAGAAAAATGGATTCAGCATTCTCTTAAGGTCCCCCCAGTCCTCTAATTCCACAGCAACACATCTAGCATTTAAGGGGTTGACTGTACTCACCTTTGCATTTCTGCCATGTCTCTCTCCTGCTGATGGAGTTTCATGCGTAAGGATGTGATTTCTTGCCGACAAAGCCTGTATCGTTCAGGGTCAATATTTGGATTGTTCCTCTGAGCAGCTTTTAGCTTTTCAATTTCTGCTTTCAATTCTAAAGATTTAAAAGAAGATGCATGATTAACAACATGTGATATACAATAATTTCCACAATACAAATAATCATCCAATCTTTTATTTCACTTGAAATTGTTAATATTGCTAAACAAAATACTTGGAGAAATCAGCTTTATTACATGATCTATAAATCTCTTCCATATCAAAAATGCTCCCATTATTAATGAATCCCCTTCAAAATAGGACGGCCATATAATGTTCTCTCCAGAGTGGGAAAATTCTGGATAAAGTGGGCACTATTAAATATACAATATTGGAACAACAGACATAAACTGGAATTATCCAAGACCAACATTGTAAAAATATATGGGATTAGTGGCATACCCCTGCCATTTCAACCCCACTGGGAAGCCAAAACAGGAGGATCCCAAATTCAAGCTCAGCCTCAGCAACTTAGTGACTCAGTGCCTCAAAATAAAAAATAAATAAGGACTGGGGATATAGCTCAATGAGAAAGCTCTGGGTTCAATCCCTAGTACCAAAAAAAAAAAAAAAAAAAAAAAAAAAGTGAAAGAGAGCAAAAGATTGGTCAAGCTGGAATTTTTAATGAAAATAGTCCCATTTGTAAAACAGAAGGGATCCAAAAGGAAAAGAATGGACAGTGGTTAAGAAAACTGACTCAACTGGCTCTTCTCTGTCGTATACCTCTGAAGTTTCTACTGCCTTCTGCTGCTAAAAGAGGCCAGAGGATTTCTGGGCATAGCTGTGAAGGCCTGTAACCCTGGCTATGCAGGAGGCTAAGAAGGAGGATAGCAAGTTCAAGCCTAGATGGGGTAACGTGGCAACTTAGTGAGACTCTGTCTCGAGAAAAAAAAAAAAAGAGGGCAGGGGATTTAGCTTAGTGGTTCCGCCACCTGCCTCACAAATGCAAGGTCCAGAGTTCAATCCACAGTACCAAAACAAACAAACAAACAAACAAACAAAAAAAAAAACAAAGAGTTGAGGATGTAAAAGTTCTGGTTTGCACAAGGCAAAAAAGGCCAGAAGACAAAGAAATAAGGAAAATGAAAAGATGGTAGTTATAAACAAGCAAAGTGAAAACGAAGTACAAAAACAAATCAAGATTCCTCACAGGTATTAAAGTTCATTCTAAGTGGATGATTACCAAGAGATAAATAGAAATTTTTAGCATAAACAAAAATTAAACCTATGCTAGAAACTTAAGCTCAAACAGCCTTCGATTAATGAACTAACAAAGCAGAGCTAATAAATGGAAAGTAGACCTAATGAAGGAAATTCATAAGGGAAAAACAAATACTTCGATTGTTAATTGTACACTATAACTGTACTGACACTATAGATACTGACAACAATCCCTATTTTACAAGTAAGGCAACAGGCTAAACTATTGATTGACTTTTCCAATCATAGAGCTTCTCAAATGGAAAGCTGAGATTAAATCCAGATAGTTTGGCTCTGGAGTTCATATTACTAAGCATTTTTCTCTATCCCAAAGTAGTGTGCTGCACACACACTATGATTATAATTTTTATGCTTGCTGCATCCCCATTATTTATAGATATGGGAAAAATCTTTGATTTTCTTAAAACTGCATATTTTAAGACTAAAATTAATATGTGAGCCTGAACTATGGCAAAATAGTTTTTTAATTGAGAAAAATATTTACCTCTAATTAACTTAGCATTCATATCTTCATTCACTCTAGCAATGTTGACTATCAAACGAGCTTGGTTAGCATATCTAAGTGTGCTTAATGTTTCTTCTATGTTGCTGGCAGCAGGACTGATTGTAGCAATCATTGCAGTTTTTGAATTTCCACCCAGACTTTCTTTTAATAACCTTCAAGAAAAAAATTAATAATTAGACTATGCTTCTATAACAACCTAATAATAGTTATTATCTCAAAAGCAAAAAACAAACTATTAAGGTATATAACACAGTGTCACTCTCTTCATTTAAATACCATTTAAAATTTCTTTGGTGTTTGTAGCTATTTTTAGATCTCATAAACATTTCACTTTCTCTTACATCCTTTATATTGTTTCATGAAACAACAATCTATGCAGAGGTTTAAAACATGCTTAGTTGTTAAAAATTTAGTAAGATACTTCTCCCTTCAAAAGACTATGGGTACCTCAGGAAAGATACTATATATCTTGGTCATCTTTACCACAACCTTTTAAGTCAGGTATTCAATAAATGCTGAAAATGGTAAGTAGACTTACAAACAAAAATGCTGTGTTGTACCATGAGCAAATATTTTATTTTAAAGAAAAAAAGAAAGAAGAAAGTGAGGAACTCACTATCCTAATTTTTTCAAAAGGAAATAAAATAGATTTTCTCTTTACAGGTTTTAAGGTGAGAACTACATTATAATTAAAATTATAACTAATTTTAAATAAATTTATAATCAAAAAGATACACTGCTGTTAGATAAAGATGTCAAAATTGTCATAATTTACTCAGATGCTCCTGTACTGAGGTTATATCCCAATAATTTTCCACTCAAAGTGTGTCATTTTTAACCATGATAAAATAGAAAAGATTTAAGTCAAACAATCATAAATTGCAGACCCCATATGCATATTAATGCTTATCAGTAAATATTAAATGCATACAAATGTAATTTTAACAATATATTAGAACTAAAGGGTAAAATATATTCACTAATTAAAACACTTATCAAGCATTTATTTGTTAACCATTGTATTGCAGGCAAAAATAAATTATTCAATTTGACTGTATATACAGTAATATTCAATACGAAACATGTCATACACTAATAAGACTAGTTCTTTTAGACTCACATAGCACATACATGTATTACAGACTTTTTATATTAATAATTTAATCCTCACTATAACTGTAAAAGATAGGTACTGACAACAATCCCTATTTTACAAGTAAGGCAACAGGCTAAACTATTGATTGACTTTTCCAATCACAGAGCTTCTAAGATGGAAAGCTGAGATTAAATCCAGATAGTTTGGCTCTGGAGTTCGTTTTACTAAGCATTCTTCTCTATGCCAAAGTAATAATAAAGTCAGTTTCTCATTCTGTTCTTCATAGTATTCACTGTAGCTCTTTATAATTCAAAAGATACTTGCCACGTAAGAATAGATTCACGATAAGGAATAAAAACCCTCTTTCGGTTTGCTTGTTCAGAAAGTGCAGATATAACCTTTCCCAAAGTTAGCAAGGACTTGTTAATGCTCACACCTTCCTGTAAATACGATAAAAAAATGTTTTTTCTTAACTTTTGAGCAACATATTTATTTCACAAAATATATTTTCACCTAATATAATTACTGAATAAACATTTTCTTCTATAAACTTTGACTTGAAATTTATTTTCTCCAAAAAGTAATCAAACCAAAATATATGTATCTCTAAACCACAACAATGTAGTCTATAAAGCTACAACTACAGACACTAAGTATACTCAGTTTGTATTCTTATAAAAACAATATTCTCTTGAATTTCGTCAAAATGAGAGAGCAAAGCAGGTGATGACCAAGAATCTGTAGTCCCAGCCACTTAGGACGCTGAGGCAGGAGAACCACTTGCATCCAAGAGTTCAGGACCAACCTGAGCCACACAACAAAATCTCATTAAAAAAAAAAATGAGACTAGGTCAGCTTTTACCTTTAGTCGATCTCCACTAGTGTGGGCTGCACAGCAGCGCTCACTGCCTGCCAGATCTACCAGATTTATGCGGCTTGTAATTCTGTGATCATGTTCTTCCCCTTCCACGATTTCTGTCTACAGCAAAATGATATTAAAATAATTTAAGTTCTCCTATGACTTGCCATCAATATGCATCTTTAAAAGGCAAAGTTATACAAGATTATGAATAATTTATTTCTAACACCATCCCTTCTTTAATCTGTAATAATCTATAATGCACAAATAGTCTGGATCTATTGAAATAAATACATTGAGCAGTGGTTAGATTATGCTAAAATTTTTAAAATGACTTTAAAAGGGATTAAAATCCATAACTAATCAACTATATTAGGCAAACTACAAATACAAAACTGAATGCACAAAGATGTTGCTTATCCTCAATATAATAACATTTAAAATCAATATAAGTTGCAAACAATAGAAAAAAAATAAAGAATTATAATAGCTAATAAAATATTGTATAGCTTTAAAAAATTATCTCTGAAAGATTTTCATGAAATAGAATTGTTAGAGATTTTGTAGATTTAGTATGATTCTAAACCAACTGAAATATTATAAACCAAAATGTTTACTGAGGTTTGAATAGTGGGATCTATGGTTCAATTTTTAAAAATCTTTTATTTCAGATGTTTTCTCAAAGATTCTATAATTACAATATGTTATTGATAATATATTACCATCTACTAATAAATTCAAATCAATGATAAAATTATAATCAATTATTAATTTAAGTAACAATGATAAATAATATACTGTTATATGTACTGATTACTGTTTACTTCCTAAAATCCATTTATGGTTGTATAGTTATACAACTGTACTTTTACCTTTTGATTTACAAAAGAAAGTAAGAGGAAACAAAGCAAATGTATTTACTATCTTAATTATAAAAATAACAACAACAAAAAAATACCTTGGTCTGGGTCATCACCAGGGTAAAAACTGAATGAGAACGGGAACTTTTATCATTCATACCAGTAGCAGCAGTTGCTCTTTGTTTATTTCCCAATTCCAGCCAACTCTAATAAAAAAGAAGGGAAGTAGGTCAGATAGGCAGACGGTAATTTACTGGGGGGGGGGGACGGACAACGAAGTTAAGAAAGTGCATTTGCTTCTTATACACATTTGTAACACATTTACAATTAGTTTACAAAATTACATGAATGTGTTTATCTTATATTTTCATAATGTGTATTAGCATTGCCTTTTTTCTTTCACAGAAATTTTAATCAGGAAATAATACCCTTAAAAGGTTATTTCTATTAACTCTAAACTGCCCTGATGGCTAGTGTTTATTTTTAACTCAGAACAGTAATTCTTTTAATTCAAACTTTTAAAAATTAGATCACAACAAATTATCAAGATTAACCTTACATTTGTGCAAACAGCAATTAAGGGAAAATATTATGATAAATATTTATCAGTATGTTATTTCTATCTATTAAAAAGTCAAAATATAATCTTACCTGAATATCAGAATAAGAATTAATAACGTTCCTATTTTTAAGAAGTAAAAAGACAAAATCAATTTTACTGGTAAATTTAGTTTTGTTCTCATAAGACAATAAACTTTCAATTAAATAATTACTCTCTGAAGATCACAATGGACCAATTCACAAACATTACAGTGATTCTCCCAGAATCTTTCATTGCACACACCACTGCACCTGGCTCATTTTCCTCTTAAGAAGTAAAATAATGCTTTAATTTTACCAAAAAGTATGATTTTTTTTCTAATAAAGCACCTTAGTATCTTAATATAACATTTAAATCTAAATCATGACACCAAAAAACATAGATTTAACACATACATGTATGCATAGGTATGTGTGTGCATGTGAGTATTTATACGTTCTCAACAGAATACCTGACTTATTAAATAGAATTGAATGTATATTGAATCACTTTTGCTCTCCTTTAAGAAAAGCATTTAAAATGTTGAAAGAGAAAGTAAATGACTCTTGGCATGTGTAAAATTCTTAATACATTGCCTTCTTCCCTTTCGAGATTAAAGTAATAGACATAAAAAGCAGACTGAGAGGGAAATTTTAACTTAACAAAAAGATAAAATGGTAAAAAAATCAAATATTATTTTATACTCAGTTTAATCAGGGCATTTTACAGATGCTATAAAAGATTTAAATAAATATAAAAATAAGAAATTAATACTATGTGGAAGAAGAGAGAGAATATAACTGGATAACATTAACGGCTAATTAGTGTTCAGGGTTTCACACAGAATACAGTGACGGTTATTACAAAAGCAAGATTCACTCTATAGATTTATTCTCTCCTCCTTGCTCTTCCTGAGCCAAACACTTACACTGACAGAGCTTCCACAAATGGTCCGGAAACAGGATGCTCCCTTACTCTCAGCTAGTAGAAACAAATATTACCAGAGTTAAGAGTATGAAAAATATTTCATGTATGATACAACTTTAAATGATCACTTCTTCCTGTATTTCAAATTTAAGGTAGAGATTTGTCTTTATTTTGTCCAGAAACAAATACACAGTTTCTCACAAAAAAAAATCTTAAGAGACAGCTTCATCACCAAAAACTACTTATAGATGCACAATATATAACAATATAATACACATCACGTCTTACTAGTTTCTTATTAAGTTAAATCCTGCAGTACCTATATTTATACTATATTTATACCTACTATTTAAATTTCTTAAACATCCACTACATTTCATACATTTCTTTTTTTCATTTTTATGTTTAAATTTTAAACTTTGTAACCCGAAATTCTAAAACATATAGAAGTCATAGAAGACAATGTCATTTTGTAAGTCTCTGACATTGCCTATGGTTAACTGCATGGTAATAGACAAGGGAAGTAACTTCAGATTTTCATCTCTTCTTCTAAAAGATTCTTTGCAAAATTTAAAAAATATAATAGCAGTTTTTTCAAAAGCTTATTTAGTAAAACTTCAAAAACCTTTACTGTTTTTTGGCTTACAGACTTCAGGGACTTTGTTTTTGACTTACATAATCCAACTAAATCAGAACAATTATTTTATCTTTAATTTTTGCCCATATTGTACTCGATTAAAATAAAGAAATTAAATCTTAACCAATTAAATTTTCACCTGTGATAATGTTCAGCTTATTTTCTAAACAACAATGTAGCAGAATGTACATCCCAAGTATTTGCTATTACAAAAAGCAGTTTAGTAAAAAGCTAAGCTTTACTATCCAGAGAACTCATATAACTATACATATTTATAAAAAGAGAAATGGAATACAAAAGGATAAATTGTTTTAATCTTACTGGTTGCTTTTTCTGCCCATTTTCACCTTTACAAACCAGAAGGTCATGAATTTTTTCATTATATACTTCAAAGAAGCTCATTTCAAAATGATAGCTGACCTGGTATGAATAGAAACATAGAATTAAATTTATTTTAAAATTCTTGGCATGTTTTACAAATCATGTACCTGACAGGGTGCTAGTATCCAGAATATTTAAATAACCCTTACAACTCAACAAAAAAGAGACAATCAACAAATTTAAAAATAAGCAAAAGACTTGAATAGATATTTTCCAAAGAAAATATAAAGCAGCAAACAAGGACTTAACAATTCTTAACATCATTTGTCAGTAGGGAAATGCAAAGCAAAGCCACAATAAAAACTCACTGAGTACTCACTACCGTGGGATGGATGCAATCCAAAAATAAATAAGAAAAATATTAAGCAGTGATGTGGATCTCAAGAAATTGGAACTTTCTTCTATTGCTGGTACAAATTCAAAATTCCACCACTGTGGAAAATAGTTGGCAGCACCTCAAAAGGTTAAACACATATTTACCATCTGTCCCAGTTCTATTTTTATGCATCAAAGAGAAATGAGAATAGCTATTCAAACAAAAATTTATACATCAATATTTATGGTAGCACTATTCACAAAAAGGTAAAAAAGAAACCCATATTGGTATAGCCATATAATAGATACTAATCAGCCATAAAAAGGAAAGAAATACTCATATTACAACATAAATGAATCAATATATTATACTAAGTGAAAGAAGACAGATATAAAAGGTAACATCTTGTACAATTTCAGTATCTTGAATCTCCAAAATATGTAAATTAATAGATATACAGCAGATGAGTAGTCACAAGAGCTTAGGGAAAGGAGGGAATAGATTGTAACTATTTAATAGGCTGAACTTGAGCTTGCCATCTTCCTGCCTTAGTCTTCCAAGAAGCACAGATTACAGGTGAGCACCACGATGCCTGAATTAGGGCTTTTTCTTTTTCTTTTAATGAAGAATAAATATGATCATGTTATTATCCTGCTTAAAATCCTTCCCTAGCCTCCTAGATTTCTCAAGGATTGGTTTATGAAGTCCTTCATGAGCCAAGTTCTGCTTGCCTCTCTGGATTCCTCTTCTGTCACTCTCCACTCTCAAATTCCATGCTCAAAACAGTAAACAATTTATGGTTTCTCAAGTGCTCCCTGCTTTATTGGTTTCAAATCTTTCCACATGCTGCTCCTTCTGCCTGGAATGTCTTTCCCTCTCTTTTTTCCCCAAGCTGACAACTGCTATATTCTTCAAAAATAAGCTCAGTTGTTCCCTCTTCAAAGAAAATTTGTCTCCTTCCAATCTTACATATTTCTTATTTTCCTGCTTTCAATGGTTTCAATCTGTCTCACAAAATAATGTATGCTGGAAATGTGATCTTGAAATTCTTATCATTATGTTGATGTTATTTGGAGGTGGGGTTAGGTAAGGTCCTGTTGGTGGGTCTCCCATGACAGGATCAATGGCCTTATAAGAAAAAAAGACCTGTGCTTGACCTGCCAGCTTCTCATATGATACCTTCTGCCATTTTATGATGTAACAAGGAGATCCACACCAGATATAAATAAGTACCTTGACAATGGACTTCCTCGTTCCAGTACAGTGAGAAATAATGCTTTTCTTTTACAAATTACTGTCTGTGATATTTTGTTATAGCAACAGAAAAAGGACTAAGACAATTTTTTTTTTCTGGTACTGAGGATTGAACTCAGGACCTTGCATTTGTCAGGCAGGCATGGCACAATGAGCTAAATCCCCAACCCAGGACTAAGAAAATTTTATATCACAGTATTTTCTTAATTTTATTGAGCATTTAACTGATTGTACTTGCCTATTTAACTGAAAAGAAAGTAATCTAGCCTATTTCTCCTACTACATTCTCTTAACTATAAAGATTAGGTCTTCTAATCCCATAACACCAAATCTAGAGCAGTATTTTTCAAATTTCCCTTAGGAAAGTATTATAAATTCCCAGGCTATACTCCAAAACAACCAAGTCTCCAGAAGAGATTTTTAGCAGGTGTGCATGTGTGTACACATGTACACACCCACAAACACACAGAGACACACATACACCCACAGCTCCCTCCCCAATAACACACACACCTATACCTACCCCTGTCATATCCCTGATGATTTGTATGATCAAGCAAAGTCTAACAGACTACCTGGCAACACCAAATGCTCATTAATACTTGCTGAATGTAAGATGAGTAAGTGAAAAAGCAAGCAAAGACTGTTCAGGTGTGGTATAACTGAGAAAATATGGCTTTTAAATAGAATCTAGGGCCGGGGATTTAGCTCAGTGGTTCCACCACCTGCCTTCCAAGCACAAGGTCCCAAGTTTGATCCCCAGTACCAAAAAAAAAAAAAATTATTTTAAATAAATTGAATCTGAGTTCCAACCCCAGCTTCATTACTATTTCTGCTTTGCAACGTCCAACAGTTTGCCTTCTCTCCTTAGTTAAGTCCGTGCATCTGACTGACTGCAGAGACACATATAATAGTATCTAACTGCCACATGTGAGCTACCACACACATAGCAAGGAAAAAAGAAAGGCAGAAAAGACGAAAGAGATAATGAGTCTACCACCACATCTACATGCAAAAATTGCTTCTAAATTTAGAATTCTCACCCTTTCTCTCTGTGTCACTGAAAAGAAAGTAATCTAGAAATGAGAACCATCTTGTTTATATCTCATAGTAGCTAGTTCCATAGCAGTCATGACTTTGATTTGAATTTGAACACACCTCTTTGGTTTGTTTTTTGGCTACTTGAGCAAAAAGATCTTCACAAAATCGTGGAATTATTCCCGGTTCTTCACTAAATCCCATCATCCTGAAAAATATATTATGAATAACAGGGACACTAATTAGTTTGGGGATATAAAAATTCTTTTTGGAAAAATGGGTTAGGGAGGGAACAAGGAACAAGCTAATTGAAGTTCATAGTTAATATCTAAGAATTGGAATTCTGGAGCTAAATCTGCCTGAATCTAAACCTTAATTCTACCAGTTATCATCTGTGTGACCTTGGACAAGATACTTAGCCTCACTAAACCTCAATCTCTTCTTCATCTGTAAAATTAGAACAATACAATATCTAATTCAGAAGGTGAGAAAGTATAAGCAAAGCCTTTGGCATAGCGCCTGAAATATAGCAAGAACTCTATAAATGTTAGCTACTATTAAAATTCCAAATATTTTCTTCTAAGATAGGTGTTATTATCACAGCTATCATTTACCAGATGCTTTGCTTTTTAATATTTTTAAATTGTTATTTGACAGAGTAATTGTACATATTTATGGGGTATAGGGATACATTTCAATACATGTATACAATGTGTAATGGTCAGATGAGAGTAATTAGCACATCCATCACCTCAGGCATTTATTATTTCTCCCTGATAAGAACATTAAAAATTTCTTTATTAGCTATTTTAAAATATACAATTAATTATTGTCAGCCACAGTTACCCTATGCTACAAGATATTAAACTTTTTAAAAAAACTGTTTAAAAATCTTTTTTAGGAATTTTTTTTTTCAGTACCAGGGATCAAACTCAGGACCTTGCGCTTGCGAGGCAGAAACAATGCCACTGAGCTAAATCCCTGACCTTATAGAAATTTTTTAATAAAATTAGGTACTTATGGCAAGAGTACATGAATACACTGTCTACTTGATCTACAAGTGTCCCAAAATTCTATCCAGGTTTACACCCAGTAAAATAACAGATATTCACACTGGTCGATACAGGAAAAAAATGTACATTCCCAAGATCTACCAAACACGAGACAGAGGCCAAGATGCTGTACTATTAATTATCATAATAACACCTGTAATACTTGTAAGTACAAGTAAAAAATACTTATGAGTAGAACTTGTGAGTAAAATTCAGTTTACACAAGAATTATTATAGTAAAATGGAGCCAATGATACAGATTAAATTATTCCATATGTAAACTGAAGGAGAGAGGTTATTTACCCAAACTTGGCACAACATGGTATATAATAGATGAGAGACTCATCATGTGGTTTCAAAATTATATTCTATCAACTGCACTGCCTCTCACAAAAGAAAAAATAAACCTTTCTGGGTAGCCATATAACTTACGTGTATGACTTTCCAGAGCCAGTCTGACCATAAGCGAAGAGACAGGTGTTGTAGCCTTCAAAGGCTCTTTCTAGAAGTGGTGCCGCCAGTGTCTCATAGACAGCTGTCTGGCTAGCATAGTGGGCATGACATTCATCAAAAGACCAGAATGAAACATCATAAACAAAAGTATAAATTTGTCTCATGTCAGGATGTTCCACAGTTATTTCTTCCCCATTCATGAAGACCACCTGAGATGCCTTTTCAATCTTCTCCCTTAGTAAAGAAGCACAAAGAAAAAGTCAAGTTATTGTAATTATTGTGGGAGCTATTCCCACAGAATATAATAAGGACCTCAAAAGTAGTTAAATCTACCATTCCTTCAAGGAAGGATAAATCTTTACTTTTCTGTGAAAAATAAGGAAACTCAATTCAAGTGGGTTTCTAAAATATGCTTCCCATAGCTCTCATGCTTAAGAAGAAAATGGAATTTCAAATTTCTTTTCCAGAAAACTTAAACTATTTGGACAATGTTTTTCCTATTTTTCTCTTAAACTATACCTCTTCCCATCCCACATGCTATAATTTACCTCTATACTTTAATTCAAATCTGGAAATATCTTTATTATAAAGAAGTTCTGGGGTACAAATCAATATAAACCTGGTGCAAAATATAAATATAATTTGAACTAACTCATTGCAAGATAAATTTAAACCACAAATTTCTTTCGGCTACTAGTTGTTTATACTGTTAATCTGAAAGTCCCTCCTTACACTAGATTTTCTCCTTTAAAAATTACAAATCTTCATTTTTCAGCTTTTACCTCATCCTTCTTCCATCTCAGGCTTAGGCAGAAATCTTTCACTTACTTTAGATCTGCAGAAAAACATTGTGATTCCTTTTCTGGCCCTAGATGTCAACCCCTCCCCCATTCTTCCATCCCTTGCCCTAAGAACCTGCTTTAAATCATAATTAATCCTAAAAATCACCTTCCTCATCAACTAGAGAAGAGCCACTCCAAGGATTGATCAGTCTAGAACCTGGCACTTACTAACTTCTCTTCAGTGCAAGAGTCCATATAGTGTTTTATCCCCTTTCTTTCTATTGCCTTTCCTTTCATGGTCCTTGAGGTACAGAAGCAAGGCCTTCGAGCAGTTAAGTTAGCTTGCTGATGTTCTCAAACTGACTCACCCTCAGTTCTCCCCTAATACTAATGCATTTCACTAAAAAGGCCTTACACCACTATGTAAGCTGCCCTTAAATACTCGCCTTCTACCTTCAAACTGGGGTTCCTTCCACAAACAGTGGTCACCATATTCACTATGAACATGCTTAAATTAGATACAGAGCATCCAGATAAAAACTACTGACCCTCCAAGGTTTTTACTGTCTTCCCTTAAAATATTTCTAACATAAATAGGTACCCCCATCATGTTTGATTATATCCCTCTTTCTCAGTCATCTGTGACTATACCTGCAATCACCTTTTTAAAAATTTTTCATTTTCCCATAATCACCTTTGGAGAAAGTTTTTCATACATAAAAATTAAGTATAATGAATCACTTTTTTTTTTTTTTTTTTTTTTTTCAAATGGGTCCTTGCTCTTGTAAGGCAAGTGGCAGCACCACTGAGCTAAATACCTGGCCCTTTTTAATAACAGACTTTTCAATAACAGACAATGGTGCTGATGATCACCACTCAGTAAAGGATTTAGGAAACACCCCTTTGGGGAACAAGTAGGTTGTTTTTTATTTTTGTTTTTTGGTGGTAATGGTACTAGTGATTGAACCCAGAGCTTTAGCACTGAGCTATACCCCAGACCCCCTTATTTTTATTACTGAAACAGGGGCTAAGTTTCCCAGGCTAGTCTCAAACCTGCAATCTCCTGCTTCTGCCTCTGGACTAACTGGGATTACAGGTTACACCACTGCACCTGGAAGCTATGGCTCTTTTTAAAGGAAAAGGTAAGTTCCTACCATATATCATAGATTTGAAAGCAGAATGCTTTTAGAATTAAGTGACTCCTAATACATCCAGAGAAACTTACATATAAAAAGAAGGGATTACATTTTTATAGCCAATTATTGTTCTCTGATTTGAAAATCTTGCCAACAAGCTTGAAGACACACGAATACTTCCTAAAAGCAAAGAGGAATTAAAGACACATTACATGATACTGGCTTGGCCTTAGATTTAAAATATATATAACATACCTTTTGCTGAAAGGCCGTACACGTACTGCCACAGTCACTTGACTATTCTCTACTTTTAAGGGGTCTGTTTCTGTAGAGGTGTTCTGAACTGCAGTCTCTTCTTCAGTAAGGAGTGTATTTTTTCGAGAAATTTCCCTTTTACTTGCAAGAAGAGAACTTTTTGTTCTTTGTTTAACTTGAAGGCTAGGTGTCCTATTTTTCAGTATTGATGTGCCTGGGCTCTTAGGCTGAAGCAGGTCAGGCTTTGGTGTCGCTACGTATTCTGTCGTGCATTTCACGGGGGTTCTTTTGTCTAAGTTTCCAAATTTATTTGAACTTTTTGCAATGTCCTTCCCAATACTAGAATGTAAATCTCCTGTTCCCGATACTTTGATATTCAAGTTACTCTGAACAGGTTTCACTGCCAAAGGTCCTGGTCCAACAGCCTCACTCCGATCCTGGAAACCCATGGGGGTGCTACTGCTTGAGCGCTTAAGATCAACATGTTCATTTCCCCCCATGAGGCTAGAAAATGTTTCTTTATATTTCTGATCAATCATTAATGCAATGTCTTTTGGGTCCTCAGCTATCTGTGTAGAAGATGCAACAAAAGAATTTTTATTGTTATTTACAATCTTTACATTTGTCCTAGTTCTCTGTGAAGCACAATTACTTTCTGTTTCACTTCCCACATTCTGCCTTGTTTTCCACTTCTCAACAGAATCTGCTTTAGTTGTTTTCCACTTTTCCACAGAAACCATTTTAGCATGATGCTGAAGGGCAAGACTTGTTGCAGATGTTTTTTCAGTTGTGTCTCTAGACTCACTACTAAGTAAAAAGGATTCTTTGTTTCTTGAAGCTCTTCTCTGAAGTGTCAATCTACCTGTGGGGTTAGTGGTAAGGGGCATATCTCCTGTTGTTTTACAGGCAGAAATAACATAAGTGCTATTTAAGTCTCTGATTTTACGTGCAGATCTCAGTAATGGATCATCCTTTTCATATTCTGACATCTCTGACCTCAAAGGCAACTTAAATTGGCTACTTTGGGTGAGGACACTTGGGGATGAAGTCTTTTTCAAAGAAGGAACTTTCAGGCAATCACTATTATTTCTATTAAGAATAGTGTGTACTGACATTTTGGCAGCAAGTTCTTTTGAAAAGAATGTTAAGAATCTAAGCTCTTCTTCCGATCCTCATTTGATTTCCAGCCATTTCATACATGTTTTCCAAAATATCTGCTGAATACAACAACAACAAAAAAAAACCTTTAGATTGCACAGATTACAAATATACTTCAAAAATATTGAGAATGTCCTAGTGTAAAATTAAGTTCCCAGAGGTATACATTAAAATAAATCACAATCTCCAGCTCAGATATCGCTTCTATATTTTATTTTGTTTTTGTGGTACCAGGGATCGAACTGGAGCCCTTGTGCTTGCAAGGCAGGCTGGAGAGCACTGTTGAACTAAATCCCTTCAGATATCACTTCTAAGCAGCTTCTGACAAATCTCTGCCCTCAAAGGGCCTTCAGTTACTATGGAACAACTATTTACTTAGTGTTTTATTATATGCCAGATTCTGTGATTCATACTGTGGGCTTCAAAGACAAGATCCCTGTTCTCATTTCCTTAGTCTAGAAGGAATAAAGACTCAGACAACCTTTACACTACATTAAATGTGCTAAGTGACTTCACAGATGTTTTAAAAGTGCATGTCAATATATAGACAATTGTTTTTAATATTCCCAGCTTGGGGAGTAGGAAGAAATCCTAAAGGAAATCCTAGCACCTAAATCAGAGTCTGGAACAAAGCATTTTTATACACACCTGTTTAGGTCTTTTAATTTAAAAATCAAACTGATGTCACAAAGCAGATTATTCCCAAATGATAAGTACCACAGATATTAGAGATACTATAAAATAATTGCTTGTGTTGAGAAAAATGAAAGATTAGATAAGAAGATAACCTGTTTTTTATCAGACAATAAGCTAGACAAAGGTGTATGCAAACACAATGCCAACATTATCCATCAGGCATTAAAAGAGAACAGGAGTGATGGCTCAGAGGCTTGGCTTTTAGTTAAATGTACATTAAACGCCTTACATGGATGTAAGCAAGTCTTTCAATTTGCATGTCTAACTTGTAAAATGATACTGGCACAAACCATTCCGAAAATTATTGCTACTGAGGAACAAATTACAAAAATAAAAAGTCAGCATTGCAAAAACAAAGAGTCAGCATTCATAAGCATCTCCCGTCAAACTTGCACCGAAAGTATAAAATTTTCCCATTATAAAATAAATTTAAAGGCAGAAATAGATTCTGGAAATGCGTAACTCACACCATTTGCCATCTACATGAGACAGTATAGTTTTTGCAGTTTCGCCATCAGATTTTAGAGGACTCGAAGGAATATAAGAAAAATGTTACAACTCAAACCAAAACATCCGGTGGATTGTGTTTTCCTAATCTAGTCTGTACCAGGGGCTGTGGGCAAAGAATGTACCTCTCAAAGCCAACCGACTGGGCCGGACTGCACCAGGGCAGGCGGGACCCAGCGGCCCTGAAGTCCGGCCTCCGGGTCGGGACGAGGTGTTGCCCTGCGCCTTCCTTCAGGGACTCCTTTGCAACTGACCTGGAGTTCTGGGGACAGAAGCGGGGTCCGGAGCTAACACCAATCCCTCAAGCCCGCCCGCAGGGAAAGTACCCGCACGCCCGCCCTCACACGGGTACTTCGGCCCTCAGCTGCGCCCGCCACCTGCAGGGTCCTCACCAGTCCCTCACTTACCTCAGTGTTGGGTCCCCGGACGGCCACAATTTGAATGGGCGCCTCGCCTTCTGATTGGCTGCTTGACGTCGCGTCGTGCGCCGCTCCTTCACTTCCTCCCCCCCCCCGGAAGCGCCAGCAGTTGGGTTCCGCCCTCATCTCCCTGGCAACGGTCGGACTGGTCTACCTGGTTGCTCGGGCACCTGCTGACACCTCACTAAAATGAGTTTTCAAGAAGTGAAAGTAACAGTCGTGCGGATCCCTAATGGAAAATAAATATAAATTCCGTTTTACAGTCGAGAACCTAACATCGTAAATGACTGTTTATCATAATAATTAATTCCTTGCTAGTATTTCCTTTGCAAAGCTTGTGATGGGGAAAGTAAGAAATTTCTTATTTCGTTTTTTGTTTTTTTAGTCTTGAAAATTCTATATGTATTGATATTAGCCCCAGTTTACTGATGAGGAACGGAGGTTTAGAGTTAATACACTTGTGAAAGCCAGCAGGTGGGTTAACTAGAAGTCCTAAGCTGATGTCATAAATTTTAATTCAGTTTCAATGAATTTTCCAATAATATTTTGAAACGTGAAAAACACACATTCTGAAAAACAACCAGTTCCCCATGAAGGACTCTAGCCAAATACATATTCTAAGGCAACAATATTTCAATGGGCAAAAAAATGTAAGTAATGGAAAGTATTCAATAGGATAGAAAAGGTAAGTAGAAGAAGCTTTAACTACATTTTTCATTCTAAAACACATTCTAAAAATATTTCCAAAATTGTTTTAAAATTTAATTATAAAGATACAGTCAGAAAATAGATATCGGGTGCTTGCTTCAGCAGCACATATACTAAAAAGAAAATATCGGTTTTATTGGGGTAATATTAGTTTAGAAGCAAAAGAGGATATAACAAAAGAAAAAATCAAAGACATGAAAATTTCACGTGTGATAAAAGTAAAATGTAAGGCAACTGGAGAATGTATTAAATGTTGAAAGAGATGTAAAGGTCTTTCAATTTTATAAGGAAAATAAGTATCTAATGACTATACAATGGCTAAAGATACTCCACACAAAAATGATTCACACACGTACAAAAATACTTGATATAAAATAGAATGTAAACACCCAAATCTTAAATGTAAGAGTTTTTTAAAGTGTTCCTGCAAAAAAATTCTTTTTCATTCTGGCATTTTGGCACAGGTGACTAAGCATCTGTTTCTAGTGCAGTGAATCTCGAGCACTGCTTAAAGACAAACACCCCATCTGTTTGTGGTTTATCCCACTGCTTAATATGAGACCTAATGTGTAGCAGATGATCAATAAATATTTGTTGAGTAAATAACAAACTCTCCTACAAAGCAGTATAATAATATATTGAAAGAACTATAAAGAAACTCATATGACTTGACCTAGAGACTGCATAAGAAAGTATTTTAGTAGAAAGCAAAAAGTTCACCAGAGTATTGCCTGTGTATATTCACTCCAAACTGGAAGACATCTAAACATCTAACCACAAGAGAACACTGTGAATGCTTAAAAATGAGGAAAGAATAATAAGTCATGTTACAATTATGTGGCCATTTTAAATTATACAGTAATTGTAAATTAAACAGGATTAAAAAAATAAAAATAACAGGACTAGACTATGCCTGGTCTACAGACAGAGCCCTCATCTGCCCACCAGACTTGGAGCTCAAGGTGGAGCGGGGCCTGGTCTGTCTCACACTGCTCTCCCTGGTGACTGGCAGAGAATCTTCATAGGGCCTTCACAGAACACAGCTCTGCTTCCCACCTCCCTTTCTCTATCAGAAGCTTCTGACCAAATTCCAACCACAGGATTAATCTCCACGCAATCAAGGCCACTTGTGAGCCACCTCCAGGGTGACCAAGGAGGAGTTTGATCTTTTAGTTAGCTATACACTGAGATGGCCCTTTTCTTTGCCAATCCTGTTCAAAGCTGGCTAGCAGAGAAGGTCACTCAGCCTTGGCGTGGCTCAAGTTCCTCATCTGGAATTGCGTATGATAATGCTGCCTGCTGAGAAGAGTCGTAATGGGGACTGAATTAGATCATGAACACGAAGTGCTTAGCACAGTACTGGCACAGAATTAATGTCCAATAAATGTCAACTACTAAATTATATAATGTGATGTAACTTTCCAAAGCACTGAAAAGCCCCATTCAAGGCTAGTGCTGAGAAACTGGGGGCTCTCTGTTACAATGATAATGACATATTTTATGAAAAACAAGGATTATGTTTAATCCCTAAAAATAACTAACAAGATGAACTACTGAATCCTTTCATAATGGACTCACAAAAAGGAAAGAACAATGAACTTATCTCTCTAAGACTGATATGCATCCCTGTTTTGCTCCAATTTGATTAAGTTTTTAAAAAGTGTAGACCTTGTGTGCTTTTGTTTCTTTGAAGGAGGAAGAGAAGAGGGACTGTAAGAAATGCAGCTTGGCAAGAACAAGGTTTGTAGGGTAAATAGCCTGTCACTTCTCAATTCATTGGATGCCACGGTCCCTCTGGAGCAGTGGCCAGTGTGCCACCTGACTTTGGGGAGCCTTCTCCAACACCCCAAAGCAGCAGGCAGTTTGAGAGCTCTGCTCACCCATGTAGACAGAGGGAGTGCCTTGCTATGGCCAACACAGCAGCTGTTTAAAAGACCCCACGTTTTCAGCCAGGTGAGGCGGTGCATCCCTGCAGTACCAGTTTTCTGGAGGCAAAGGCAGGAGGATCACAAGTTCAAGCCCATAGTGGACAACTGAGTGACTTAGTGAGACCCTAACTAAAAATGAAAAAAAATGGCTGGGAGGTAGCTCATCACAAAGGTTCTTAGTTCAATCCTCAGCACTCCTACCCCACATTCCACCCTTGTCGTAATAGTAGGAGGCAGAAAGGCTACAAATTCCAGTCTATGTGTGTTAACACTGAAAAGCATTCTGCTCTACCAAAAAAAAAAAAAAGCAAACAGCCTCACCAAGGTCACCAATGGCCTTCCTGCTAGCTCCAGTGAAAATTGCCCTGCACACCTCTGTGACCTGACATCTCTGCAGCATTTAGAGCACTCACCCGTTGTTTTCCGAGATAGTCACTCTTTTGGATAAATGTACATGGTGGCCGGAGCTCTATGAGGACAAAGTCCCTTCCTAAGAATCAAAGACAGGACTTGAAAGAACCTGTGGAGACCACTGACTATCCAAAGTCTTGGGGACTGTTGCCCCCTCCTAAATCATGACATTGTTTGAAGCTCTGGGCTTGCAGACCTCTGTGGATCTTATTCTCTTGATTGATTTGGAGAGTAAGTATTGCGGTCTTCTCCCTTCACAGGTTTGTTTGTTTTGTCTATGGATTGCTCTCCCTGGTTCTGATCACTTTTGTCTGTCTTCAGCTCTGCCCACGTACACCAGAAGAGGTCGCTCTTTCTCTCTCCTGGATCCCGGGCATAATGCCCTCACCAAAGTGTTTTCTGATGGGCATATGATATCACCAAATTGTCTTCTTATTGTCCCAAAACTGAGGTTCCCTTCCTTCTGCCCTTCTCCATGGTGTTTCCTCCTTCCGTGAGAAGACACTGACCATCTTGGCTAGGGCACTGATGGTTCCAAATACTCCACTCTTACTTTGTGTGGGAGAAGTAAGCGACCTATTATTATTATTTTAAGAAACCATGCTGGGAGAATCTTTTCTCTCCCAGTGACTCAGCATCTTCCATCTCTAGGGACGGGAGTGCTGACTTTCTACCTCCTCAGCTTGGCCTTTCCCAATATAGTGTGGATCTGCGGTAGCAGGGGTGGGGTACCATGTTTCAGGTGTGGACACATTTCCCCTCTCACATGCTCTAAACCCTCTGGATTTTAGTTCAGCGGGGTGATATTTTTGCTTATTGTCCCATATCACTTTTATCTGTTGCCCCACCTCACTGTTATTTTTCAGCATCAAGTTGGGGGTACATTTGCTGGTGCCCCCTTGCTCCCCTCAAGTTCTGACCTGAATCCATTCTTAATGCTCTCTTATTGTTTTTAAGGTATCTCAGAGAATCAGCCCTATCTTCCCGCTCTGACACTTTGTCCTCACACCAGTCACTTCTGCTGCCCATACTTTAAATCAAATTTTTTATCTCCTCTTTGGTATCTTTTCAGGGACTCTCACTTTTGCTAAAGTAGATCATTTATGTTTTACAAAGTCAACACTCAAAAATCTATAGCATTACTGTACACCAATTTTTAAACTCACTAAGAGAAATTAAGAAAACAATAACTTTCACAATAGCATCAAGAAAAATGAAATTCTTTTTTTTTTTTTTTTTTTTTTTGGGTACCGGGGATTGAACTTGAGTCCTTGTGCTTCCAAGGCAGGCCACTGAACCTCTGAGCTAAATCCCTGGCCCTAGAAAAGTGAAATTCTTAAGAATTAAACTAACCAAGAAAGTGAAAGACCTTTGCAATGAAAAGTACAGTTCTCTGAAAAGGAAATTGAAGATGATATCATAAAATAGAAAAATATCATTGTTTTTGGGTAGGAAGACCCATGCTTCCAAAATGGCCATACTTCCAAAACTCTTATACAGATTTAACACTATCCCAATCAAAATACCAACAACATTCCTCACAGAACTAGAGAAAACAATCCTAAAAATCATATGGAACCAGAAAAGAGACTTAGAATAATAGCAAAAGCAATCCTGGGTACAAGGGCAAGGAAGGTGATAACAAAATCCCACAATTCAAATTATGCTACAAAGCTACAGTGATAAAAACAGCATGGCACTGGCAAAACATACTTGTGTATCAGTGGAACAGAACAGAGCATGCAGAAAAAACTCCAGGAACACTTAGCTATTTCATCTTTGACAAGAGGCCAAATCCTTTGCTGGAGGAAAGAGAGTCTCTTTAACAAATGGTG